CATACTTCGTACATTCCATGTTCCAATTTTCAATGGATGTTTACAGCTGTTTCTCTTCATTTTAAGTTGTTGCCCATCAGCAAATGCAGGTTCTGTGTGCAAAGATTTAGAGAAACGTAAAACCTTTACACACTGCCAGTGGGTATGTAAAGTGGTGCAGCCACTTTGGAAATAGTCCCACAGTTTCTCAAAAGGTTAAAAATAGAGCTACCATATGAGCCTGTATAGCATTTCCAAAGAGCAGCTGATGGGTTTGAACCATTAACCTGTGGTTAGTAGTTCAGTGCTTATCCTACAACATACCACACCACACCAAGACTATATACAGAATATTACTCAGCAATAAAAAGAAAATCAAGTATTGATAAATACTACAACATTGGATAAACCTTAAAAATACGTTAAGTGAAATAAATTAATCACAAAACACCACATATTGTATTTGTTGTTGTTGTATGTGCCATGGAGTTGGTTCCGACATATTGTATGGTTCCATTTATATAAAAGGTTCAGGAGAGGTAATGTATAGACACAAAGTATATTAGCGGTTGTTGACATATGGGGGCTTGGAAAATGGGGAGTGATTGTTAAAACAAGTATGGCACTTTTGGGATCATGAAAATGGTCTAAAATTAAAGTGGATATATTTCACAATTCTATAAAATACATTCAAAACTATTTTAAAAGGTAGAATTGCATGGTATATGAATTATGTCTCAATTAAGCTGTTACAAAAATTTAACAAAAACACAGTTGTTGTCTAGAGAGAAAATATAACTGTACAGTAAACTTATAAAGATTTGTTCAGCGGAGAATAGTAGCAAAATTTTGTTCTAACCTTAGATTATTGTTGTTGTTAAATGTTGTCGAGTTGGTTCAGACCCATAATAATCCTGTATAGTTTCTGAGGAGCAACTGGTGAGCTTGAACCACCAACCTTGCAGTTCAAATCAACTTTGTAGTCCAGCGCATTAACCCACAGCGCCACACAGACTCCATAGATTACTTACATGAACTGAAATTCTATTAACTTGAGGGTTGGCTTAATGATACTATAATTGCATCATAGAATAACAAGCAAATAATATTAGAGTGATATAAAGGAAATACTTTAAATGATATTAGACAGTCTGGACAATTTTTTTATATATGTACACACATATACATATTTTAAAAAAATCAAATAATGGTTATCACTATTTTAGTTTAAGAACATGTTATAGAAATTATTTCAATTAAAGCAGGAAATAGGCCAATGTATTCAGTAAGAGTTTATATAGAAAAATAGTGTTTCATGTTCCTCCCTTGTCCTCTACCCAGAAGAAATCATTATTTTCCAAATACTTGCATAACCTCCCAAAGTGTTCTAATGGGCACACAAACCATATAAGCGTACTTTAAAAATAAATTTAATAGATTCTGATGTGTTTCTACACTTGTACATACAGGTTCGCCTCTTTTAAAAGTTTGTATGAAGGTACCACAAGTTATTTAAACACTGCACTTTTTTTATGGGGAGAGGGGGTTTGAAAATATTCACAAGAAAGCACACACCCACATTCAGTAATTTTTACAGTGGCAATGATTATCTATTTCCTATTATTTCACCGTTCTTACTGTGTAAGTCTCATCTGTGCTTTAGACTTACTACTGCCATTTTG